ACAGGGTCAGATAGGGAGGAGCTGGGGACTCCAAGTATGGGCCCCAGGAACTTCGACAGGCCTGGTCCATACTCCTCTCAGTGGCAGACAGGCATGGACGCAGAGATGGCTTCCTGGAAGTCCACAGGCACCTACGTCGACGAGATTCCCCCACCTCGGGAGAACATAGTCGATGGCACGTGGATTTTCAGGGTGAAGCGGCCGCCGTGTTCTCCGCCTGCCTTCAAGGCGCGTTACGTTGCTCGAGGCTTCGGTCAGCGTGACGGGGTCGACTTTTTTCAGACCTTCTCCCCCACCCCGAAGAAACACCAATCTTCGGGTGCTACTGCACGTTGCAGCACAGCGCGACTACGAGCTGCACTCCCTCGACTTCCCGACAGCCTTCCTGCAAGGCAGCCTTCACGAGGCTATCTGGTTGCGTCGTCCACGTGGCTTCACCGGGTCGTTTCCTGATGTGGAGAGTCACTCTACAACGGTAGTGAGCTAGACTACGGGGGTTGGCACGAACTACTAGGAGTGATCGTAGCTTTGCTTGGTTCCTTAGTGCTTGCACATTCACGGGAGAAACCGGCAAGAGTTTCCACTAGCAAAGTTGGAATTGCAGAATGATCGAACAAGGGATGGCAACAATGACTACATCAGGCACCTAGCAACCCTGCAGCTAGCCTGGTCGACCGCCAGCACAGCTCGGTCGACCGCCTGCCAGCGTTGCGTAGAGGAGCCGCGCCAGCACTGCAGAAGGGCGACCTGCCAACAGAGCAGGTCGACGGCGTGCAAACGCTGCAGCAGAGCGGCTGTCCAGCGTTGCCCCGTAGAACATAGCAGTGCTCACGCTCGCAGGTGCACGCAGACGATTGGCCCGACTTGCCTCGTTGGGCATCCGTCGGCTGTTGTCTGCGCCTGACGAGCCACATCGACTTCGGGATACCAGCCCGAAGTCGCCTGCGCCATTGCGACCTTGACGACGTTCACGTGCCTCCGCAGAACTCGTCGAGCAGGTTACCCGGTCGACGCGGTCGACCACCAGGTGCTTCCGATCGACCACCACTGCTTCTGGTCGACCACCAGGTCCCTCTGGTCGACCCCCAGGTGCCTCTGGTCGACCACAACTCCTGTCGAGCTACCCTCTGGTCGACCACAACTCCCGTCGAGCTACCCCCTGGTCGACGGACCCCTTCCGTCGACCAGAACCGTCAGCGGTTGTCGCCGAGCTCCCCTCGTCGACCGCTGCTCACTTGTCAGGTCGACAGACTGCTCCGTCGACCTCCCGGTCGAACTGCTCCTCCTGGTCGACGGCCCACCCGTCGCCCAGACCAGTCAGTTGCAGCTGTTGAGCTCCTTGGTCGACAGCAGCACCACAGCGGTCCCCTGCAGCTCGACGATGCCTGTCGAGCAGCTCTCCCACTGTGAACGGTCGGCTGCTACTCCCGTACATCCGACCAAGTCGTCGGCGTTGCCCAAGCGAGGGCGGGGCCAACAATCTATTCCAGTTAACACATGAGGGTACCCAGTGGAGTCTTCGGCGACCAGTCTACGGCCTACGACAGGCGCCCCGCGAGTGGCACGACACACTGAGGACTACACTTGCGGCTCTTGGCTTCGCTCCCTCGACTGCTGACGCTTCGCTGTTTCTGCGCACTGACACTTCTGTGGACGTTCTACGTTCTCGTGTACGTTGACGACTTGGTTTTTGCTACTGCTGACACTGAGGCTCTGGCCTTGGTGAAGGAGGAGCTGCAGGACAGACACACATGCACTGACCTGGGTGAGCTGCGGAGCTACCTTGGCTTGCAGATCACCCGTGACAGAGCACGCCGCACCATGACCCTCACTCAGTCACACATGGTGCAGCAGGTCCTTCAGCGCTTCGACTTCACGTGGTCCTCGCCACAGCCCACTCCTCTGTCTACCGGCCACTCTCTCTCAGCTCCACCTTCGGACGAGTCCGTAGAGCCGAGTGGTCCGTACCCAGAGCTTGTGGGTTGCCTCATGTACCTGATGATGTGCACACGACCTGACCTCGCGTACCCTCTCAGCCTCCTGGCTCGCTACGTGGCTCCTAGTAGACATCGAAAGATGCACTGGGATGCTGCGACGAGGATATTGCATTACTTGTGCAGTACATCGGGCATGGGGCTCGTGCTTGGAGGACCAGGTTCAGTTGTTCTCACCAGTCGCTCAGATGCTTCTTAGACTGACGACCTGACGACTCACCGGTCGACACAGGGTTACAGTTTCGGTCTCGGCACTGGTGCTGTCTCGTGGAGGTCCACTCGCTCTTCTTTTGTATTTAGTTCTAACTGTGAGGCCGAGGTCTACGCTGGGGCTATGGCTGCACAGGAGCTCCGCTGGCTGACCTACCTGTTGACGGCTTGGGTGAGCGGCCTCGTAATCCTCCAGTTCTGTACGTCGACAACAAGGCCATGATTGCCTTGTGTCAGGACCAGAGACTGGAGCACGCACATTGCTCTGCGTTACTTCCTCACGCGAGAGCTGCAGCAGCGTGGTCATCTTCGTCTTGCTTACGTGGCCACACGGGCCAACACTGCTGATGTCTTCACCAAGGCCCTTGGGTCTAGTGATCATTAGCGTTTCTGCACTGCTCTTGGGCTTGTGCCCACTCTGCCTCACTTGCTTGTCTCTTGATCTTGCTCTTGTTGTACACTGATATATATGAGTATACCTGCATGCTTACACTTGCTAGGTCGTGATCAGTGTACTGCTCTTGCTATTATAACCTTTGCATGTGAACTGGCCTTGTGGCCGCTTGCTTGCGCTCAGAATGCGTGGTGATCTTGAGATCCACCCTGAGTTTTGCTTTGCTTTGTTCTCTTGCTTGACTGGTCTTGTGACCGTTCGTTGTGTTTTCTATCCCCCACTTTGTCAGAGGTCCACTAGTGATCCCCGATTGATCCTAGGGAAGGGTTACAGGCTCGTTGTCCTGGGGGGTTATAGGCGCACTGACCCGCTACTTAATAAGCCCTTTTATCCCAATGGTCTAGTGGTTGGGATTCTGACACACTTTGCCTATGGGCCTGTGTCAAAATACAATTGCATGCAAGTAGACTGAAGTGGGGTAGCCCATATAGGGTACAAGACTTCTAGGGTTGCCTACTTGTATTGCTCCCAAACCCTAATACAATCATTCCTGTTTCCTTATTGTAACACACACCTACCAGCAGCAGATGGGATGCCTGCTCTTTGCCTCAGTGACATGCAGGCCAGACCTCTTGTACATCGCGAGCGAGCTGGCTCAGTACTCTCGCAAGCCAACGGCTGAAAATCTCCTAGATCTTTAGCTCGACCTGCAATTCTTCATCTCCACGCCCAACACACTGGGATCTGCTACTCTACAGTCCCAACCCCCTCCGTCAACCTCATCGGCTACGTGGACACCGATCATGCTGCTAACCTTGACAATCGACGGTCCAGAACTGGGTTCCCGTTTCGGCTCGAGCCAACAGGGCCCACCTCCTGGAACTCGAAGAAGCAGGAACTGGTTGCCCTATCATCGGCGGAAGCTGAATTCATCGCCGCAACAGCAGCAGTTCGCGAGGGACTATATCTACAGGAGCTCATACAGGAGGCAAGAAATCTAACTGCGCCAACCTTTCGCTTGCACTGCGATAACCAGAGCGCGATCAGGATCGCGAACAAGTCGGGATTCGTCAACCGCACCAAGCACATTGCGTTGTGGTACTTCTTCGTCAATGACGAAGTTGACAAGGGGAAGGTCGATCTGGCCTATTGCCCGACGGGTGACATGGCGGCCGACTTCCTCACGAAGCGACTGCCACGTCAGCAGTACCAGCACTGCTCCGAACTCAGCGAGGTAGTCAAGTGGGTCAAGACTTTCTACGGCCAGGAGTGAAGGGGGGTGTTACGAATAGAAAATTATGAAAGGACAATGCACTCTCATCAGTAGCAAGCGAGGAACACAATGAAGAGTACGAAGGCGAAAAGACGGAGTGACGCGAAGAGTCCTATACGGTTATGGAGCATCTGGATCCTTGTCGGAGCGGAAGCATCGGTCAGCTGCAGTGTAGTGATGATGATTATGGCGGGAACAGGTTCGTAACCAGGCCCGAAATTATCAAGGTAAAATACCCTGTTTGCCCTGATGAGCGGCCGCTTTTTCCCAGTTACCCTTGCCAAATCAGCCTATGGAAATTTTTACCCTAGTGGAAAAAGGGTAAGGTTGAGTACACTGATAACAATTTCGGTTACCCTGCCGGTATCAGGGTGCGCTGCACATTACACTGATACCGAATCGTCTGTAGGGAGGATTTTCCTTTCGAACTTGCGATCTTTCGAAACCAAGATGATATCTAACAAGCTGGGACATACCGCGCTGCCACAACAGTGCAGTCTATAATTATGCCAATATGTAAACATTTTTACACTACAAACAGTGTATCAACAATTTTACCCTGACACAAACAATGTATCTGAAATTTTAGGCTGCTGCCATCAGTGTACGGAAAATATTACCCTAGGGGTCAGGGTACTGGGGGCCTGAAACCCTGATTTGCAAGAGTGGCCCAAAACCAATTTTGGGCCCTGTTCGTAACCGTCTGGAGTCGCACGGTTGGAGTTCGCTGCAATAAGGGAATGTACACCTTAGAGTTCATGGCTAGTCTAGGTCCCTTTGTATTCCTCTGTACTCTTATAAAAACGAATGTATTTGCATTTTTTATGATCTCATTCATTGTAAATTCACTCTGACCTGAGGTCAATACTTCCGTTGCAACAAACTCTCAGCGAACCTTCTGATCGCAACAAGAATCAAAGACCATCCGAGAGTGGAATGCCCCGACTAAAGTCATGGAACTTTCAGGGAAATACAATCCCAAAGTTCAGATTTCATCCCTTGGATTCATTTACATCATGTCCAGACAGCCAACACAACACCACCATAATATATATCCTTTGCATTCATTTGCTTAAAAAAAACACATACATGTATTTATATGTGAAAAAACAGGCCAAACAATAAATAATCAGACGACCAACGTCCTGAGCTTTTGATCAAAGGGCTCAACAGCTGGTTGTGGTAACCACTGCCACGTGCCCATGGGCGCCATTCCTGGCATGGCATATGGCATGGCAGGCACATGCAGGTACTGTGGAGCAGATGCAGCCGCAGCAGCACCACCAGCTGAACCACCACCACCAGCACCACCACCACCAGCAGCAGCTGAACCAGCAGCATCACCAGCAGCAGCAGCACCTGCTGCACCAGATGAACCAGCAGCAGCAGCATCACCAGCAGAACCACCAACACCACCAGTAGCAGCAGCTGAATCACCACCACCAGCAGTAGCAGGATGGGTTGCAACAGGGCATGCCATGTGACCTGTACCCAGATGCTTGCCTGCAGGAGGGTTCTTGCCTTGCACAGTGCGAGGCTGGGGACGGTGAAGGTGCGAGTGGGGATGGGAGAGAGGATGAAGCATCCCCCCAGGCATGAACGGAAAGGGCATCAAACCCATGGGTGCTCCCACAGGGCCCAGCTTGCCCGGCTCACACACCGGATGCAGCATCACGGGCACAGCACCAGGAGAACCCGGAGCACACGGAGCAAACCCAGGAGGAGGAGTGGCAGCTGTTGGCCGGGCGGCGGAAACCACTGATGCTGCTGCTGACGTGGCGGCAGTGGATTGGGCAGCACCAGATGCGGCCAAGCGGCGGACCTCGTCTTCCAGTTGCTGCTTGTTGGCCAGCAGGCGCGCCCTCTCCTCCCTCAGTTCGCTCTTCTCCGCCTGCACGCAGGGAGATATGTGTATAGGGCCCAGGGCGCGAAATGCACAAGGCATAAGTCACAGACCGAATGGCACAAGCGTGGCGGAAGACTTGATAAGAATGCACATGCATGAATGCACGCATGCGAACACGTCACAGATATCATATCATATCACGCGTTGATGTTTGATTCTACCTGCACGAACACAATTTGTGACAACCCTTCCTGCTTCCATGCTCTTGTACTCCCTCCAATCGCCCGCAGCACACCCACCTCCCCTACTTCCATTCCTCGTGCCGCTCTAACCCTCCCCCAACATTCTCTCCCCCCACCCCTCGTTTCTCCCCCAAACGCACGCACCTTGTGCTCCGCTCGTCCCTCCCCGTCCCCCCGCTCCGCTCCTCCGTCCTTCCCCCCCCCCCCCCCCCCCCCCCTCCGCACCTTGAGCTCTCGGATCTGCTCGCTCATGTGCTCCGCGGAGCCCCTCAGCCGGCTCGTCTCCGCCCTCAGCTGCGCCAGCACGCGCACCGCGTCCACCAGAATGCTCCCCCTGTCCGCGCGCGCCAGCTCGCTCCGCTCCAGCGCCCGCGCCAACTCCTCGAACCTGCGGTAGAGTGGGGGGGGGGGAGAGGGGGAAGGTACGGTAACAAAGAAAGGGATGAGGAGAAAGAGATGGAAGGGCAGAGCTCAAAGGAAAGCAATGATAAGGTTCCCAAAAAACAGGCGCTGGGAAAGGGTGCGGAAGCAAAATCTTTGAGAAAAACGAAAGGTTATGACAGGGAAAGCGAGCGATGGAGTATGGAGAGCAGCCAGCAGGCAGCAGCAGCGACGGACCTCTCGTTGAGTCGGTCGCGGCGGATCTTCTCCCGATTGGCCTTGTTGCTGTTCGTCTCGCTCGGCTCCTCTCGCTGCCTGGAGACACACGCGCAGGACGTCCGGGAGTGCGTGACGTGAGGAGAGGAGATTGGGAATGCGCCAGGAGAGGGGAAGTCGTGAGGCGGAGTTGTGAGACGGGGAACACACGCGGGAAGATCAGCCAATAACGAGGATATGGAACGAGATGAATTGAGCAGAGTTGCTTTCAGGACCAAATGCGGTAATGGGTAAAGACGCAACAAGGGAGAGAGAGACATCCAAATGACTCGCCGTTTATGGGAAGCAGCACCGCCGCTGCGGTGTTCGCCGTCCCTGCGACTGCCATGCGACAGCCCCTCCTTGCATTGCGACAGCTCTCGCCAATGTGACGGCGGCTCCTTGTCCGCAGCACTGCTCTCATTGGCTCGACTGGACGCCCTGCACACAGGGGGGGGGAAGGGGGAAGGGGGAAACATGAGGAATAACCGAACGAGCGGGAAGGGAAAATGGGTGAAACGAGAGATGAGAAGCGAGAACGGCCTAGCAACGCCGGGCGTCTATGACATGATTTTATGCGCTATAGAGTTAACCCGTTACACCGCTACAGAATGTGAATTCAATTGTAGGCGCAATCGCACGTACCTCTCGGAATCGTGACACGCGGAATCATGCTGCTCGGCCAGCATATTCTCTAGCAGTGTGGAACGCCCGTCACCGTCAACGTGAACGATGACGGAATCCGTCAGATCGTTCATCCATTGACACTGGCTGGTAGGAAACGACCCAAACAGCGCCGCCATGAGGGTGGGATGTAGTAGTGAACCGGAGGGCGGAAAGGGCGGATGGGCGGAAACAAAGGGCTTCCGGCGGAAAGGGATTCAGGACAGAAAGCGCTTCTGGCGGGAGAGGCGGGAATGAGGGGTGAACGCGGCGCAAAGCGGGGCTTGGCTGTTTGGCGAGTGCGGATGAGCGCCGTTGTGGCGACTGGATGCGGACGGTGGCGACCGGAGAGGCAATTCGTGACGAGAAGCACTTGAGCGTCAATGCATAGATGTGATCGCCGAGCGCGGACTGAATGAAGTGTTAGAAGCCTTCAGGATCGTTCAAATAACAGAGGGACCAATTTGCGGGACCGTTCAAGGGATCGTTCCAGGGCTAATAACAGGGAAGGGAACCTAATAGCCCAGGGAGGCGGCAAGACAAGAAGTACGGTCACAAGTTGAAAGGCACGTGTTCTCTAGGCTCGGCTTGCAGCTCAAGTGACAGCTCCCAGGCTCGGCTCGGCTTGGAGCGAGTCAGCTCCCATTGACGGCTTCTCATAAACACACCACACGGTAGATCAAGACCGGATATAGCTGCCGTCGCCGCCCTGGAAACGTAGGATAGGGATTACGACCGAACCTTTGCACGACGCGACGCGAGCCGCCACACCACTTGCACGACGACCATTGGAGGTCGAGATCGTGGCATGATAAGGCAGCATCATATACCTGGAGCGGAGCACGCCACGTCACCACCTAACCGGCGGGTTTCTGGACCTTCAATCTCTGTGAAGTGGCTACACTAAAACGAGACATTCACAGCCGAGAACCCGTAAGCAGCAAAAAACGCCACGCACGCACACAAGCCGCTTGCAGGCGGCTACCGCCACGCGAGCCGCTGCGACTGGGTGGTGGTGAGGTGAGAGAAAGAGTGTGGAGCGAATCGTCGTGACGTGGCTGGTCAGGTAACTGAGGGAAGGGGGAGTGGGGAAAGGAAGGGGAGGATGGATGGCGGCCCGGCAGCTGGTGGGGAGGGGGGGAGTAGTCGGGGTGAGAGGGGCTTGAAGGGAGAACGATTCCGGCGTTCCCTCCACACAAATCTTATCTTTGAACTGGAGGTGAGCAGAAGTAAAAAACAACCGATCTGCACCTTTTTGACATACCTATGCACCGTCGTAATATTCTGGATCATCTCGTCCCTCTCCTAAACCTATCCGCCTATTGGTCGATTAGGTGACTCTTGACGACCACCAATTCCCCCTCCCACTCCGACCCCCACCCCCACCCGCTTCTCCCTTGCCGAAACTGGAGGTGATTCTGCACCCCTAGAGGAATATTCCGCGCTACCTAGTGGAGGTTGGGTGGTGGGTCAGCCCCAGTCCGAATCAGATCGAGTGACCACTGCGAGAGAGTGCAAATGCAAAGCGAGGAAGTATGTACTCTCGCGCTCTTGTCGTCACTAAGACCCTTGTACAGTGTGAATAACCCCGACCGAATCAAGACAGAACGGTCATTGGCCATTGCCGTGCTAGCACGTGACGCGAATTCCTGATTAGTCCGCCTCCGACTGAAGAAATCCGATCGAAGTGAATGACAAAATCTAAACTGCCAAAGTGGCTGGGCAGTCCATAACAGAACAAAAAATGAAATTGCTACAGTGTAGGTGTAACATGGAAAAAAAATCCTTGCTTCGCGTCCCCACCTTTACCGCATACAGCACTGTTCCCGCCACCTCCGCTGTCGCACCCAAGCCATACGGCTCCGCTGTACCAGTGTCAAATTACATATATGCATGTTAGTTTGTTACGCTACATTGAGGTGCAATTGAGAGAGTACAACCCTTTTAGAGTTGCATATTTGTATCTCATTGTTGCTAGTCATCACCCATTCCGCTGTTCGTACTTTGACATTGTATCATCGTAGGTGGTGACACAATCTGAACCGTCTTATAGGATCGTCTCAGGTTGATCGCACGGAGTGTAGCAGCGGAAGATTGCTAGGTAATGTCGGGTACGGGCTCTGTCAGAAGAAGGAGATTTGAATCTCGACAGAAGTGACAAATACAATGCGGTACAAGGGTTTATATAGGAATACAGTGGAATACCAAAAGTCCTGGCTAGCCATGTACTCTGAGGGGGTACATTCCCCTTATGGCTAATCTAGATGCAGCATCGCAACCGTGCGGTTCGGTAACTGTCTCGATAACTGTCTCGTCGCTTGGCCTTTCGTCCTCGCTGCAGTCATCTTCGCGTTAAGGATTTGTTACCCATGAATGTTTATTCAACTATTCCATATCGTAACACCCCCTTCATTCCCGGAGGAGCGAACTCTTAACGCGCTTGGTTTGTTAGAGTAGGTGAGGTTGACTATCGAGATAATTGGGTACAAGGATGAGAACCCTAAGGGGTTGTACCCTACATTGGCTACCTCACTAAAGCCTAAACCTAATTATAAATCATATATAGTTTGACACACCCCCATAGGCAAAGTGGGGGAGAACAAGGGGTCACAAGACCAGTCAAGAAAAGCAAAGCAAAGCAAGCTCGGGGTGGATCACAACGTCACCACACACTCGAGCACAAGCAAAGGGGCCACAAGGCCAGTGTTGGCCCGGCTGGGCACGTGAGCGACACGAAGCTGACCATGCTGCTGCAACTCTCGAGCAAGGAAGTAACGCAGAGCGATGTGCTTCGTTATGTGCTCCAGTCTGTGGTCCTGACACAAGGCAATGGCAGCCTTGTTGTCGACGTACAGAACTGGAGGAGAACGAGGCCTCTCTCCCAAGTCGGTCAGCAGGTAGGTAAGCCATCGTAACTCCTGTGCAGCCATGGCTATGGCGTAGATCTCAGCCTCACAACTGGAGCTGAGAACAGAAGACGAGCGTGTAGACCGCCAAGAAACAGAGCCAGAGCCAAGACTGAAGGTGTAACCCTGTGACGACCGCTGCGTAGCCAGGTCGTCAACCCAAGAAGCGTCCGAGTGCCCAGTGAGGACAACGTCGCCCCGTCCTCCAAGCACAAGCCCCATGCTCGATGTACTGCACAAGTAGCGCAGTACCCTCTTAGCAGCATCCATGTGCACCTTTTGGTGCCTACCAGGAGCTACGTAGCGAGCCAGAAGGCCAAGAGGGTACGCAAGGTCAGGACGAGTGCAGGTCATCAGGTACATGAGGCAGCCCACTAGCTCTGGGTAAGGACCACTCGGCTCTACGGACTCGTCCGAAGGTGGAGCTGAGAGCGAGTGACCTGTAGCCAGAGGAGTGGCCTGTGCCGAGGACCAGGTGAAGCCGAAGCGCTGAAGGACCTGCTGCACCATGTGTGACTGAGTCAGTGTGATGGTGCGGCGTGCTCTGTCCCGGGTGATCTGCAAGCCAAGGTAACTGCGCAGTTCACCCAGGTCTGTGCACGTGTGTCTCTTCTGCAGCTCCGACTTCACCAGGGCGAGAGCCTCAGTGTCAGCAGTGGCAAAGACCAAGTCGTCAACGTACACGAGGATGTAGAACAGCGGCAGCGAAGTGTCAGTGCGTAGAAACAGCGACGGATCAGCAGTGGAAGGAGCAAACCCAAGAGCTGCAAGTGTCGTCCTCAGTGTGTCGTGCCACTCACGAGGCGCCTGACGGAGACCGTAGACCGGCCGGCGGAGGCTCCACTGGGTACCAGGAGGGAACGACCCTGTGAAGCCAGGTGGGCGGCGCAGCCATATCTCCTCGTGCAGACTGCCCTGTAAGAAAGCTGTGCTGAAGTCCAGAGAGTGAAGCTCGTAGTCACGCTGAGCGGCGACGTGCAGCAGTACCCGAAGAGTGGTCATCTTCGGGGTGGGAGAGAAGGTCTGGAAGATGTCAAGTTCCTGTCGCTGACTGATGCCTCGTGCAACGTAACGAGCCTTGAAGACAGGCGGAGAACCCGGCGGCCGCTTCACCCTGAAAATCCACATGTCATCGACTACGTTCGCCCCAGGAGGGGGAACTGCGTCGACGTAAGTGCCTGTGGACTTCCAGGATGCCATCTCTGCGTCCATGACTGTCTGCCACTGAGAAGAGTACTCACCCGCGATCGCCTCAGCGTAAGAGCGCGGGGTCGGGATGTCTGGAGCATCCGCTTCTCCCTCAGGGGCAAGCAGCATGGCCACGAGATGAGGCGCAGCGGCTGCAAGACACTCAAAGTCCTCTGCCTGTCCTCAAGGACGTCCGTGCCAAGAGCACACTCACCCCCGACGGACGGAGGACAGACAGACTCAGACTCAGCAACAAGACTAGCAGCGAAGTCGAGACGACAGGCAGCAGCAAAGTCAACAAGCTCAGACACTAAGGCAGACGCAGCAGTAGACTCAAACGACGGGTCAGTGACAACAGTGGCTAGCAGACGCGTGACAGTAGGGTGAGCAGCACGAACCAGGTCAGACTCAGGCTCTGGAACGTCAGGCAGAGAAGACGCAGGAGGGGGCGGCAGGGGAACACGCTGCGGAGCAGAGGAAGGACGCAGGGCCATGAGGTGTGTGCCGGGGACAGCCGGCGGACGCTCACGAGGAACACGACGACCAGTACGACCAGTGCGGACAGTGCGAATAGGCGAGACAGGACGAGACGCAGGCTCACGACGCTCAGTAAGACCTCCTGTCTGCTCAATGTAAGGAGAAGGAGCAGGCAGCGGTGAGCCAGGCTGTAACGGAAGACCAGTAGAAGACGGGAGGCTAAGAACCTGGCGAAGCACGGAGTCAGGCGGTGGCAGGGACAAAGGCGACGGCGGAGCGAAGAACAGTCGCGGCTGTGCAGTGCCACCAGCACCAGTAGCTCCAGCACCTCCAGCAGCTCCAGAACCTCCAGCTCCAGCGCCTCCAGCAGCAGCACCTCCAGCTCCAGTGACTCCAGCAGCAGGACTCCAGTTCCAGTGCCTCCAGCAGCTCCAGAACCTCCAGCTCCAGCGCCA